ATTCTTTGCACATGTTGGTTCTTACTAGATAATAAAATTATGTCTATACAATGGATAAAATTGGGAGCTTGTGCCTAACTTTTATCTAAACCCCTTGCTGTGAAGCAATGCATCCTTTTTCCTTCGTACATTAACATTTGTAAGTATTGCCATTTTGGGCCTGAGTCTTTTTTAGCAATTTAACTCTATTTAACTGTCACTGTTAGTGCACCACATTCCTTGGAATGTGGCAGTTCTGCAGTTTTAGGCCTTGTGCCCACTTCTCAATGTATAACCTTTTTCTCTCTCTTGGGTTATCTACCCATAAGGCATGTATAATCTAGTTCTTTTTTTCATGTTGTTTATTCAGTAGTCTCTCATGTTCCTTATTTTCTGTGCTTTCTCAGTGTGCTTGTTGGTTTCTCCTTCTCTTGGATTCACAGTACACTCTGGCCACCAATAATCTTCTCTGGCTTCCTGAACAGTCAAACAATTAAGTTTTATTCCTGTTTATCACAATAGGCACGATTATATTCTACCTATGCTGTTGATATACACTTGTCTGAAGATATGCATGCTTGTGTGCATTAACATATGCCTGTGTTCTTGCTTCACTAGTAATCCTTTATCTCTATAGTCCTTCCCTGGTTTAACTATTAAGTTATTATCTAGGAGTGACCATTTGCTCCTAATCTTTTATGTATCTATCTTATTATGTCATCTGCCTATTGTCAATAGGCCCAAACTTAACTTTCTAATGATAACACACCCACCCGTGTTTTTTTTTTTATTTAATCCTCACCCTACAATATTTTTCCCACTGATTTTTAAAAAGTGGGATGGAAGGAGGAGGGGGGAAGAGAGAGAGAAACATTGATGTGAGACACATCGATTAGTTGCCTCCTTCATGCCTGGGCTGGGGATGGAGCCTACAGCCAAAGTACGTGTCATTGACTGGGAATCGAACCAGCAACCCTACAGTCCACAGGCCAGCACTCTAACCACTGAGCAAACAGGCTAGAGCGACACCACTCTTTTTTTAAGTTGTGTTAGTACCATACAATTTATCAATGCTTTAAAAAGAAAAAACCCTATGTAGGCATTTGGCTGTGATACCCCATCTTACTCTCAAGCCTGACTTATTTCTCCTATCATCTTGAATTTCTTACTTATCATGGATTGTCATTCTTTTTATCTACTGTTATTATCTTGGTTAATATAACCACCTCTGGGTTGATTGGCTCAGAAAATGCAAACTTTCTTTCAGTCCTTTCATTATTCAAAGTCCAACCTCCGAAGATAAAGATGATGTATAGAAGAGCTCAGCCGATGTGGTGTTCAGTGGTTGAGGCAGGAGGTTGCGATTTTGATTTCTGGTCTGGGCACATGCCCTGGTGTGGGTTCAATCCCCAGTGTGGTGTGTACAGGAGGCAGCTGATCAATGGTTCTCTCTCTTCATTGATGTTTTTATCTCTCCCTCTCCATTCCTCTCTGAAATCAATAAAGATATATGTATATTTTAAAAGATGTATAGAAGAGCTGAGCACCACTTTCATGATGAGATGTGAAGATAAATAAAATCCTTAAGTTAAATCCTGGGGAACAAAGAAAAGGGCAATGATTCTTTCATGTTCCAATAAACATTAAAACCAAAAAGTTGGATTGTGAACTAGATCAGCTTAAGACTATTTTTAAACTCCGGGTGTTCTAGTTTTTAACTTATTTATATTGTCTCCAACATTAAAATAAGAAATATATAAAAAGGATTTTGATCTTATTTTATGTACAACTTGATAAACTATTAGTTTATTAAAGAAATTTTTATCAAGTAGCAAGCATGGTGCTATGCTTTTAAGTTGAGGGATACTACCTCAACCAGGTAATCAAGCTTAGCATTGTTAATGATCATTCACGTTGACAGCATATGGTATTAATGAGAATGGCTTTTTTTTTTTACCTCTGTGATCTTCCTTCAAAAGTATAAAATGGTAACACCAGTGCAAACATAAAAATATACCAGAAACCCAAATTGAGAGTCTACAAAATACTTAAGTACTCCTCAAAACTGTCAAGTTAATAAACATGGAAGGTATGAGAAATCGTCACAGACCAGTGGAAGCTAAGGAAACATGAAAATTAAGTGTAATGTGGTATCCTGAATGAAATTTCAGAATACAGCAGTAGAGAAAAATACTAGAGAAATCTGAAAAATAATGTGTTTAGTTAATGATGTATCAATATTTCTTAGCTATGACAAATGTACTACAGCAAGGGTGGGCAACCTTTTTGTGCATGCCAAAACCAGCAAAATCTGACTCAAAATTCTTCTGCGTGCCAACCCTAATTTTTTGAGAACATGTTACGCCTACTTGATATCTCTTAAGGTGTATGTATGTGAAGAACCTTGAAGAAATAATAAAATTCATTCGAGCGACAAAAACACAGTATATGATGATGAAAAATACATTATTTTTTTAATGTATACATGTACACTGGTAGTCCGACAGAAAACTTTATGACTCCGTTTGATATTATCAGTGCGACTTTCGCTGCTGCATCACTGATGAAGGAGATTTTACATCAGGTTTATATTTCGTGACCTTCAGAGATATGCACGAGCTACTAATTTCATCCGCCAGGCTACTCCTATTACGATACTTAACCAAATTCATCACAGAGAACAAAGATTCACAGCGAATATGGATGAAAACATGGAGAGTAACGCTGTTGCAAAGTTTTTTAAACAGAAAAAAATTTCTGGAATGGCATTCCAAGTCCTCAATAGTTCGTTTTCGACACTATTAAAATTGCTCTTGCCCCTTGTCAATCAAATTGCTCTTGCCCTCTCTTGTCAATCCATGTTTATGGTCTTTAAGATAACTTGTTATGTAAAATTATTTATTTATATAAGATGCACCTCCACTGAATTTATCTGAAAAATAAAAAAGTTGATATTAAGAAAAAAATTGTAAATGGAAGATTATAAGAGAGGGTTTCGCGTACCAGCAAAAGTTACTGGTGTGCGATGTTTGGCACGCGTGCCAGGGGTTGCCCACCCCTGTACTAGAGTAATAAAAGATGTTAATAAGGGGACTGTGTGAGGAATATATAGGAATTATTATTTTAACTTTTCTTTAAATTTACAACTATTCCAGAATAAAGTTAATTTTCTAAAAATTTAAAGTACTTTAGTTTTCTAGAAATCAATAATTTTCTGAAAAATCAAGCATGTAGAGATACCTTTAATTCATTTCCCTTTTGGCCCCGTGCAACGAACTCACATTGTATTGAAGTGGCAGAGACTGAGGAGGGCCAAACATATTCTCTTAATTGCTGGAACTCTCCTGCCACCAGGAGTGCTAACCCAGTCTCTGGTGTGCTAGCCCGGGTGGTACTATCAGCTTCATCTCCTGGCCTTTTTCTATGGCAGTGATGCCACCAAGTAAAGCGATGATAAGCCAGTCAAAGAAATACCTGTTTTCCAATTAATGGTAAAGAACAAACAAACAAAAACACATAATGTTCCCTCACGTAATATTAATAGAAGATAGGGAATAGAAAATTTACTCAGGGAATCAACTGACATTGTCCACATAATCTACCAGATCACACTTGCAGAAAGCAACATGCCCAGTGTTGAAATTTTAAGTGGTTCAGGTTTTAAAAATGAGAAATTCATTTCCTTTCTTCTCTGTACTGACCAAACCATGTAGCCTGAAATTAGGACAGATTAAACAAATATTTTCTTGGCTAAGACTATACTATATTGTCCCCCCGCTCCCCCCGCCCAAAAAAAGCGAGTTCTTTTCAATACTAATGCAGTGCTTCTGACGTGAAAATAGCCCTGATTTCATTCTAATTCCACAACCTCCTATCCAAGCAGGGCATAAATCAACTAGTTTGCAATGCTGCAGTATCAGCAAGCATCATGGGACTGGGAAAAGATCCTATACCGGATACTCAGGCTACATGCATACAAGAGAGCTAAGACTTGCTTAATAATTACTCAGTGCAAAATGAACCACTAAAATGGCATAAAATGAAGGCCAAACGACTATGTAAGAATCAACATCCACCACGCAAAGAATCCTTGAGAAATCTTATGGTCCTAAAAAACAGGGCCAGACCAATGGTCAGATATCCCAGGCAGGCCAACATCGAACAGCATCAAGCTGAGGGGAGCCAAAGAAGAAGCGTATAGTTTGTCACTCAGGAAAGTTAACCGGTCCTGACCTGGTTTGGCTACTGCCTTCTATTGTTACACAGACTCACAGATGTACGCATAACTCAGAGACCAGTCACAAACATTTATTAGTGTTGTCCACAGAATTCAAGCTATTCTTCCATCTTTAAAATGTCCACAGTGAGTTTGTGCACAAATATTTTCTATAAAACTTAATATAATAAAGTTTTAGTACATCAGTTCAAGGTGATGATTTTACTCATTTCTGAAACTGACACATTTTCTTAGAAAAAAAATTATCTGTCGCAAACTCAATGTGTTAGAAATGTCACAACAAAATACAAGGTTTTAGTCTAATCTTAATTGTTTGATGTTTAATAAAGTTCACTGGGAAGTAAAGGCCTTTGTGTTTTTCCCTGAGATTTCTCTTATTTTTAATGAGGTTGTCTGATCATTCAGGATCATTGATAGAAGTTGCCTTCCTCATGTGAGTTCTATAATATACAATGACAGGTTGAATTATGATAGATCTTCTGACATTTATTTTATTTACAGCCCTAACCGGTTTGGCTCAGTGGATAGAGCATCGGCCTGTGGACTGAAAGGGCCCGGGTTCGATTCTGGCCAAGGGCATGTACCTTGGTTGCGGGCACATCCCCAGTAGGAGGTGTGCATGTACCTTGGTTGCAGGCACATCCCTAGTGGGAGTGTGCAGGAGGCAGCTGATCGGTGTTTCTCTCTCATCCATGTTTCTAACTCTCTATCCCTCTCCCTTCCTCTCGGTAAAAAATCAATAAAATATTTTATTTACAGAGTTTGTGAACCCTCAAAGGAAAAAAAGACACCTATTAAGAAGAGCTTCTGGTGGCTACCTTGGCTCAAACAAACAAACAAAAAAAGCAGAGCCAGCAGCCATTTCTGCACAGGGGACTTTTATGCAAACTGCTCAGCACTAAACTGCCATTGGCTGAACCAGCCCTTATGATGGTTTCCTGGAATCCTATTTCTACCAATTGGATTGAGGCTTTCTCCATTCAATCAGAGCAGCTCTATTCTGACCAATCAGGACCAGTGCCTTTGGACCAAACTGTGAGGATTTGGATGGCTCATGTGCATGAGGACAGACCAATCAGGGACCAGAGGCAGGGACTTCTGTCCATTTAAGCCAGCTTCCCTCTGGCTTGGGGAGCGAACTTTCCACTGAAGACCGTTTTTCCCCAGCTACAGTAGAAACATGGGAGATGCCTCGTTGGAGCAGACCAGAGCTGCCTGGCCAAAGACAATCCTGGCCCAAGGGTGACCTAGGCCCTGCTGTTTTCACAGCTCCACTGCATCACAACTGAGCTATGCCTCAGCTGTGCTATTTTCACAGCCATGCTATAGCACTGAGTCAAGTTTCCTTCCTCACTGCACCTCAAATCAGGGATTCCTGTTGGTGCTGAATTGGCACCAACGACCCAGGGTTAACAGGTTTAACTTCATTCTAACAGAGTTGGTTAAATTATATGCATTTAACAAATACACCAAATCTTTAAGAGCTCAACACAGTACAAATGTAATTCCTGTGTTTTTTTTTTAAAAAACTAACGGGAAGATTTGTTAGTGGAAAATTGTTTCATCACTACCTTGTGCTCTATGCTCAATATACACCACACAAGTCTGCCTTGCAAATTTCTCCATTCCAGTATGAATAACAGAACAGGAAGAATGCAATTTTTAAAGGCTAAACTTAGCTGATATGTAACAGCATAATAACCCATGGCCAGCCCCACCTGGATGAAAGGCAGATTGGGAAATTTAGACATGCTTGTGCCTATTAGAAGAAGAAATAGTTAAAGGTAACAATTTGCAGTCTGTGTGACATGACCTTCTCCACTATGTGTTTTAATAATCAGTTTCTTCAGAACTTCCCAAAGGCATTACATTGAAGGTTTTTCTCTCTGGTGTGCCTTCTGTTATAATGTGCTCGAAGACCTGCCTTATGAGTGAAAGTTTTCCCACATTCATTACATTCATGTGGTTTCTCCCCTGTGTGAATTCTCTGGTGCTCACTGAGAGTTGAACTGTGGGCAAAAGCTGTCCCACATTCATTACACTCATAGGGTTTCTCCCCTGTGTGAATTCTCTGATGTGATCTTAGACCAGAAATACGGGCAAAAAACTTCCCACATTCACTGCATTCATACGGTTTCTCACCTGTGTGAATTCTCCGATGGGTACTGAGGTTTGTCTTACGGGAAAAAGTTTTCCCACATGCATTACATTCATAGGGTTTCTCCCCTGTGTGAATTCTCTGATGTGCACTGAGGTATATCTTCCTGGAAAAAGTTTTCCCACATGCATTACATTCATAGGGTTTCTCCCCTGTGTGAATTCTCTGATGTGCACTGAGATGTGATGTCTTAGAGAAAGTTTTCCCACATGCATTACATTCGTATGGCTTCTCCCCAGTGTGAATTCTTTGATGTACTCGGAGGGCTGAATTATGAGTGAAACTTTTCCCACATGCAATGCATTCATAGGGTTTCTCCCCTGTGTGAATTCTCTGATGTGCACTGAGGTGTGATGTCTTGAAGAAAGTTTTCCCACATGCATTACATTCATATGGCTTCTCCCCAGTGTGCATTCTTTGATGTACTCGGAGGGCTGAATTATAAGTGAAAGTTTTCCCACATGCATTACATTCATAGGGTTTCTCCCCTGTATGAATTCTCTGATGTGCACTGAGGTGTGTCTTGTTAGAGAAAGTTTTCCCACATGCAATACATTCATGGGGCTTTTTGCCTGTGTGAGTTCTCTTATGTGCTCTGAGATGTGATGTCTTAGAGAAAGTTTTCCCACATTCAATACATTCATTCGGTTTCTCCCCTGTGTGAATTCTCTGATGTTCTTTGAGCTGTGCCATCCTGGAGAATGATTTCCCATATTCATTACTTTGATAGAGTTCAGCCTCTGTGTGTGTTCTCTGATGTACTAAGAGGGCGCACTTCTTGTAAGATTCCCCACATTCACTGTTATAAGGTTTCTCTTTTGTGTGAACTGTCAGATGTTCACTGAGGTTTGACATCTGACAGGAAGTTTTCTCACATTCATTATATTCATAGAGACAGGCCCCCATATGAGTTCCAGGATAATGACTAGTGTGTGAATTTGAACAGAAGAATTTCCCACACTCCTCACATTCACAAGTCTTCTCCTCTGAGTGGGTCCTCTGTTGCTGAATGAGGTGTGCTTTCTGGTAAAAGAACTTCCTGCATTCATTACTTTCAAATGCCTTCTCTCCTATGTCATTTTCCTGATGTACACTGAAAAGTGAGTTTTGATGCAAGGATTCCCCACGTTTACCACATTGGTAGAATTTCTCTTCTGTCTGAGTTCTCTGATGTATTGTAAGGTTTAAGTCCTGGTAGGAAGCACTTGTACATCCATTAAAAACACAGACCTTATCTCCAGTTTGTGTCTTCTGATGTACCAGATGGGCTGAGCTTTGGGTCAAGTTTTCTTCACATTTACTGCTTTCAAAAGCACCATGTCTTGTAACAGTTCTCTGAGGTTGAATGAGGAGTAAATTCCTGTTGAAATTATTTCCACTTTCATTACATTCATAGTGTGTCACAGTCATCTGAATTTCATCGTATTCCTCAATAGTGGCTTTGTCACAGGATCTCCCACATTCATTAAGATCAAAGCATTTCTCCCTTGAACCAGTTCGCCTGTGGTTAAACAGAGTTGCGTTATCACAGCTTTTCCAAAATACATCATCCTTACATGATTCCTTTCCTGTTAGGGAACTCTTAACTATAACACAGACAACAGTGTTATCATGTAAAACTTTTCCGAATTCATTACATTCAAAAGGCTGCTCCAGAGTTGGAAATTTCAGATGATCTTTCTTATGACTGAGAGCGTTCATATTTTTATACTCCTAAGGCCTCTCTTCAGGATGAGCTTTCTCATGTTTGATATCAAGCTGCGACTTTTCACATATATTTATGTAATCAACCAGCTTTCTTGAATAGTTCCTATCATTAATAAGTCAGAAAAAAGTGGCAACTTCATTCTACGTGAGTCACATTCACAGGACATTTTTCCTGAATAATCTGCAGTTAATCCGGATTAATTGGTTTTCCTAAAAGTATCTGCCTTTCGTTACTCAGTGGTTTATTATCAATGAATATTACTTGCCAAAGAGGTTTCTCTTGTTTTTCCTGGTTCTCCTCAATGTGGACATCAACTTTGTAATATCCTAAAATTAGAAACATTGAAAACATCTTATGAATTTTACATTTCTTATTATGAGGAGCTTATAATCATGTTTTGTTATGCTTTGTATTGTTTCTAGTCATGTTTTCAAAGATTAATAATTCATGCGCACAGACAGAAACACAAGACACACACTCTTTCTCTCTGCTCATCCAAGTTGTTTAAAAAAACAGAATTACTCCCAGTGCTAGCCAAAATGGAGCAGCCCCATTCTTCCAGGTCCTCCCTCTCGCAATTAAAAAATCCCTAAGGAAAAAACCTCTCAGCAAAGTGGGAATAGAGGGATCATGCCTCAACATAATAAAAGCCATATGTGACAAACCTACAGCCAACATCATACTCAAAGGGCTAAACTAAAACCATTTCCCCTAAGAACAGGAATGAGACAGGGATGTCTGCTTTCACCACTCTTGTTCAACATAGTACTAACATAGCAATCAGACAAGAAAAGACAAAAAGCATCCAAGTTGAAAAAGAGAAAATAAAACTGTTATTATTCGCAGATGATATGATATTGTGCATAGAAAACCCAAAAGACTCCATCAAAAAACAATTCTCGGGGGGAGGGGAGAGTGTGGGGTGTAGGAAGAGATTGGACAAAAATCTTACACCTTTGGATGAGGACAGTGGCGGGGGGTAAGGGCATGGGGTAGGGTGGGAACCGGGTGAAGCGGAGCTATGGGGGGAAAAAGAGGAACATCTGTAATAATCTGAACAATAAAGATTTATTTAAAAAAACTACTAAATTTAATAAATGAATTTGAAAGTGTAGAGGGAAACAAAATTAAACCCAAAAATCGATGGCATTTTTATAGACCAACAATAAAATCTCAGAAAGAGAAACAAAAAACAATCCCAGCTACCATTGCAACAAAAAAAATTAAGATACTTAGGAATAAACTTAACCAAGGAGGTAAAACACCTGTACTTGGAAAACTACAAGATGCCGATAAAGAGCTAGAGGAAGATATACACAAGCAGAATATACTGTGTTCATGGATTGGTAGAATCAACATTCTTAAAAATGTCCATACTGCCCAAAGCACTCTATAAATTCAATGCAATCCCGATTAAAATACCAACAGCATAGTTCACAGATCTAGAACAAACACTCCAAAAATTTATAGGAAACAAAAAAGACCCCAAATAGCCGCAGCAATCCTGAGAAAGAACAATGTTGAAGAAATCACAATACCAGGTATCAAGTTATACTACAAAGCCACTCTACTCAAAATAGTCTAGAACTGGCACAAGAACAGGCATATTGGTCAATGGAATGGAACAGAGAACCCAGAAATTGACCCAAGCCATTAT